CCCCAAAACCCCAAAACCCCAAAACCCCTAGTTTTACTTAAAATGTAGAATAAGATTTTATGGGAAGGCTACAAGGGAGCGGAGATTGAAGTGATCGTGCAGGAAGTGAATTTGAAAATACTGGAGGGTATGGAGGGAAGATAGGCAATATTGGTCTTGAGAAGATAACTCAGTGTGTGATTTGTGGTTTTGGGAGATTTTCTTACAATGGATAAACCCAAACTTTCTCCGAGTAAGTAATTTCATTTCTAATCTTATAGAATCATTCTTTCGTTCAAAATTCAAAACCATAAAGGATCCATACATCCTTGACACTCCAGTCACCTCTGAGGATGAGCTCACACCGGAAGACCGTTATCAACGTTACACAAACAAAAAACAATGGCATGCAGACAGAAAGCTCCGAAAGGACCGCCAAAAGCACCTATAGAACAACAAAAACTCCGCCAGGCCAAGCTCAAGCTCGAGCAAGAACGCCTACAAAAAGAACGGCTAAAACAACAGCACCAGAAGGACCTTGACCAGGAAAAGGCCAGAATCCAGCACGAGCGTAAACGGCAGAAGAAGCAGAAGGCTAAGCAAGAAGAACAAAAGAGAGATGCTGTCTTCGCAAGTGTGTTCAGGATGGAACAGAAGGAGAATTTTGTACTGAAAAGTGAGGATCCTAGTAGAGATTTTGGGAAAATTTCGAAGGATGATAGGAATGGGTATTATAGGGTGCTGAGAGTGGGAAAAGAGGCGAAGAAGGAAGAGATACTAGCGAGTTATAGGAAGTTTGTACTCTTCATGCATCCTGATAAGGGAGGGTCCAGTGATAAGGTAAGTTTTTAATGGGTTAATGGGGTTTAGTTCCAGTATTTGACAGAAGCGAGGAAAGTACTAGAAGATGAGAGGAAAAGAATGGTTTATGATAGGTTTGGGAGGAAGAAACTGCAAGCGTCACTGAAGTTAGCGAATGATTATGAGTTTCAAGAGTTAGTTAGGAAAGCGCAGAGAGGGAGTAGAGTTAAAGTTAGTATGAATAAAGCAGCTAATAGTTTTACGAATGTGGAGAGGAGTTATAATATTTTATATCCTTTATCAGAGCTAAAGAAGGATATAGCTCCAGTGAAATTATCAATCGCTGTATCACTTTCAGAAGTATACAAAGGCTCTTCCAAATATATTGACCACTCCTTAATAACTCCTTGAGAGACCTGTCATGGCAAAGGACTTGAACCAAAGTACATCCAGAGATGAAATTATTGAGAAGGAAAAGGAGAAATTTCAGAACCTAATTACTTCAATTGAGCCTTTAAATCTCGTAATTCAAGATGAGAGCAGTGAAGAGGTATGGGAGAGATAGTCATCCAAGAAATAAAGTGTAACACTTGCAAAGGAAAACGAACTAAGACACTTGAACTGCCTATCAGAATCGAGATTCCCAAAGGGATACATACTGGTGACAGAATTGAATTGCTCAAAAGTGGGAATGAGTTTATCAGCGGATTCAGAGGTGATTTGATCATTGAATTAAGAGTAAAGGACGAAAAAGGATATAAAAGAAATGGAGATGACCTTGAATACACAAAGAAGATATCAATAGAACAAGCATTTTGAGGAACTCAATTTGAAATCGAATCACTTACATCAGGAAAAATCATGCTAAAGAATGAACCAGGAGAAATTATAAAGCAAGAAGAGTATGTCATGAGAGGACTTGGAATGCCAAAGTATAAAACTCAGAATGAGTTTGGAGATCTGATAGTCAAAATTAAGCTAAAGCTACCATCAAAGATATCTGAATCTGATGTGGTAAAAGCAAGAAAGTTTTTTCAATGATTTCCTTCAGAAAAACCGTTAATTAAAACACAAGACAGTCTGAAGTTAAAAAAGCAAAAGAAGAGAAGTAACTCTGCTCCGAGGCCTCTTCCTTCCCTCAAGAAAAAACCAAATCGAAAAATATATCTGTACCAAACCCAGGTAGTATTCCTTAACAAGCCAGAAAAATCCAAAAGACCCCATTCAAACCCTCGAAAATCATAATTTTTCAAAAATCCAATTTTTTCAATCTCCCTTAAAACCCCTCATAATACCCTCTAACCCCCTCTAAGACCCTTCCAGGCACCCTCCACTTCCCACCATCCCCAAAACTCTGAAACCCCTCTCTTATTCAATCCAAAACCAGTCCCTCAAATCCACCCCAAGTGTGCCAGGACGCTCCATTCCAATTAAACCCAGCCAGAGGAACAAGCTAGAGGTCAAGCGCAGTTTTCAATAAATTTAGCTTAAAAAGGGGTTTTGGGGTTTTGGGGTTTTGGGGTTTTGGGG